TTTTGCACCCAGTCCAGCTATGGGCTGATTTTTAGAGTTCCCTTCTGCCAGCAGCCCTGCGGGGCCCCTTCCACACTCGTGGATCACGCTGGCCCCAACGGCTGTGGACTTTGTGGGGTGCAGACTTCCCCCACACGCATTCCTCTCTCCAACCTGAATTACAAACCGCACCTTTAGGTGAAATCTGACCTTTCTGTGAGGAGGAGCATGACTCGTCTGAGTCCATGTATTCGTGCTGCTTGAGATCCGGTGTTCCTGGGTTTGTAGTTAGTCCCTGGGTGCCATGGTTGCAATGTCTCTGGATGTATATGCTTCCAATAACAGCCACTCAAGATGGCGTGGTCTCCGCGGCTGAGCCGGCCGCTCCAGGAGAGATTTCAGCAGCAGTGGAGGCTGCCTGGTTAGGGGAGCCTAATCCGGCAAACTCCAACAGTCCCCTTTCTCCAGGAGTCCTCTGCCTTTCCTGGCTGCAAACTGTCAGGTGTACAATTTTTGTCCAGTCTCTTCCCGCACACCCCACACTCTCCCCCGAGAAATGTCAGTCCACTCCCTTTCTATGCCCCTGATTCTATTCTATTCATCAGTTTATTCTGTTCATCAGATTTTCTATTCACTTTATTTTTAGATTCACTTGTTGATAGATATGTATTTGTTGTCACTTTGTTGTTCATAATTTTTATCTTTACCTTTTTCTTCTTCCTCTTCTTAAAGAATACCCTTCAGCATTTCATATAATACTGGTTTGGTGGTGATGAACTCCTTTAGCTTTTTCTTATCTGTGAAGCTCTTTATCTGACCTTCACTTCTAAATGATAGCTTTGCTGGGTAGAGTAATCTTGGTGGTAGGTTCTTGGTATTCATCACTTTGAATATTTCTTGCCACTCCCTTCTGGCCTGCATAGTTTCTGTTGAGAAATCAGCTGCCAGTCGTATGGGTACTCCCTTGTAGGTAACTAACTGTTTTTCTCTTGCTGCTTTTAATATTCTCTCTTGGTCTTTTGCCCTTAGCATTTTAATTATGATGTGTCTTAGTGTGGTCCCCTTTGGATTCCTTTTGTTTGGGGTTCTCTGCACTTCCTGGACTTGTAAGTCTATTTCTTTCACCAAGTAGGGGAAGTTTTCTGTCATTATTTCTTCAAATAGGTTTTCAATATCTTGCTCTCTCTCTTCTTCTGGCACCCCTATAATTCGGATGTTGGCACGCTTGAAGTTGTCCCAGAGGTTCCTTGCACTATCTTCATATTTTTGTATTCTTTTTTTCTTTTTGCTTTTCTGGTTGGGTGTTTTTTGCTTCTTCATATTTCAAATCTTTGACTTGATTCTTGGGATCCTCTACTCTGTTGTTGGATCTCTGTATATTATTCTTTATTTCAATCAGTGTATGCTTAATTTCTAATTGGTCCTTTTTCATATCCTTGAGGGTCTCACTATATTTCTCAGAGGTTTCTAGAAAATTCTTGAAAAACCTTATAACCGTGGTTTTGAACTCTATATCCAGTAGTTTCCTTTCCTCCATTTCTTTCATTTGTGACCTGTTTCTGTGTCTCCATATTTTGACTGCTTCCCTGTGCTGATAGAGTGGCTTTGTGTGCTAGGTGTCCTATAGGGCCCAGTGGCTCAGCCTCCTCAGTCACCTGAGGTGGACGCTCTTGATGCACCCCTTTGTGGGTTGTATGCACAGTCTTGTTGTAGTTAAGCCTTGATTGCTGTTGGTATCACTGGGTGGGAATTGACCTCCAGGCCAATTGGCTGTGAGGACCAGTTGTGTCTACAATGGAAGAGCTTCTGTGCTGGAGACACCCTTATGGGGCAGGACCTGCTTCAGTGGGGCTTTGACACTCACTGAGTCTGCCCAGGTTTTTAGGCGGAGAAAGGTCAGGCCATTCGTGTGCAAAAGCCTCTGCGCACAGCTTGGGTGGGGTTGTAAATTGGGTGGGAATCACCAGGGTGGAGCAAACCACAATGGCTGCCAGTCTGCTCTGCCTTGGAGAGGTCCTGGGGTCTGTCTCCCATGGCCCCGTGCAGAAGCAATGAACGCTGCAAGCACCTCTGCGAGAAAGCCGCCCTCACATTCTGGCCCAATGCCAGACAGTCCAGTTTCTCTCCATATGAGTCTGGGTCTCCAAATTTTCACCTGGAACTGGAGTTCAGAGCATTCGGGAGCTTGTTTCTCCCTCCCAATTAAAAAAGACAACAGCATAGCCAGCTGCCAGCCCCTTTCACGCGTGCCTCCATACCGCCACACTTCCACACCTCTGCACCTCCTACCGGACTCAATGTGCTTTTCTCTTTCCTTCTGGTTGTAGAATTTCCACTCAGCCAGCCTTCCCGTGGTTCTGGATGGTATTTGTTTTGTCTTTTAGTTGTAGTTTTAATGTGGTTGTGCGCAGCAGCAAATTCATCTTGGTTGTCCAGAAATATTCATTTTTAAAAAATATATTTTTTATTGATTTCAAAGAGGAAGGGAGAAGGAGAGAGAAATAGAAACATCAATGAAGAGAGAGAATCATTGATCAGCTCCTCCCCCTGGGGATCTAGCCAGAAACCCAGGCATGTGCTCCTACTGGGAACAAATCAGCTACCATGGAGCTACCACCAGGTGAAATATTCATTGTTGAGGATAGATGTCTGCAAAAAAGCCTACCTTCGGGAATTACTATGGCCCATGGTCTAGTCTGTTGTTTTGCAAATTGATTTTCATTACCATAGAGAGAGATAATCTCTTACTGGTAGATTGTATTGACCAAGTACGTGAAACTGATTTATATAATCAGAAAGCCCATTACTTTATAATTAGAAATCTGTCTGCCTTGTGCTCTGAGATTCTCTTATTGGTTCTATTAGTGTATTATCTTCTTTAAGGAGATTTATGGAAAGTTAAATTGTAAACGGAATATTTCTTGGTGAGCATGTAGGAGTTAAATCAAAGGAGTTAAAAATTTTTAAATCAGATTAGATTAGTCAATCCTATATAATAGTGGTTCTCAACCTGTGGGTCGCGACCCCTTTGGGGGTCGAACAACCCTTTCACAGGAGTTGCCTAAGACCATCGGAAAACACATATATAATTACCTATTGTTTTTGTGATTAATCACTATGCTTTAATTATGTTCAATTTGTAACAATGAAAATACATCCTGCATATCAGATATTTACATGACAATTCATAACAGTAGCAAAATTACAGTTATGAAGTAGCAACGAAAATAATTTTATGGTTGGGGGTCACCACAACATGAGGAACTGTATTAAAGGGTCATGGCATTAGAAAGGTTGAGAACCACTGCTATATAATAAAGAGGTAATATGCAAATTAATCCTCATGCCCTCACAAGATGGCTGCCTATGACCATGCCGACAGGGGGGTTAGTGAGGGGTGACCAAACTACTGAACAAACAGGCTGTATGGGGCAACCAGGCCGGCAGGGGTGTTAGTGAGAGACAACCAAACGACTGAACAAAAACAGGCTGCGTGGGGCGACCAGGTCAGCAGGGAGGCAGTAGTTGGGGTGACCTGGCCAGCAGCAGGGGACAGGTAGGGGCGATCAGGATGGCAGAGGGGGGTAGTTGGGTGCTACCAGGCCAGCAGGGGGGGCAGTAGGGGTGACCAGGCTGGCGGGAGGGGGGGGCAATAAGGAGCGACCAGGCTGGCAAGGAGGGGGCAGTTAGGGGTGACCTGGCTGGCAGTGGAGGACAGTTAGGGGGGATCAGGCTGGCATGCAGAGGCAGTGAAGGGCAATCAGGCTGGCAGGGGGGAGCAGGGGGAGGAGGCAGTTAGGGACGACCAGGCAGGCAGGCAGGTGAACGATTAGGAGCTAGCGGTCCAGGATTGTGAGAGTGATGTCCAACTGCCGATTTAGGCCCCATCCCTGGGATCAGGCCTAAACCGGCAGTTGGACATCCCCCAAGGGGTCCCGGATTGGAGAGCGTGCAGGCTGGGCTGAAGGGACCCCCCCATGCACAAATTTCATGCACCGGGCCTCTAGTCTCATAATTAAGGTGGTCCTGCAAGTAGGACTGAAAACCTGGGCTCAAGACTCCTTGGCTTAGACATGTTGCATTTTTGTTTTTGCTTCATTGGATGAAGCAATATTTTCTTTCTTTCCTTATTTCTAAGATAGTGTGTGAAACAGTTTCAGTGGTTCTCAACCTTCTGGCCCTTTAAATACAGTTCCTCATGTTGTGACTGACCCAACCATAAAATTATTTTCATTGCTACTTCATAACTGTAATGTTGCTACTCTTATGAATCATAATGTAAATATCTGATATGCAGGATGGTCTTAGGCGATCCCTGTGAAAGTGTTCGACCGCCAAAGGGGTCGCAACCCACATGTTGAGAACTGCTGGTTTATATGGTTGTAAACTGACATCAAGGTTCTACTTTACATAAAATCAAGCAAAGTAAATACTCTAGTAGTATTTCAGGTTTTTGTGAATAAATATGTGTTTTCATGAATTAAAACCCATTTTAAAAAATCCTCACCCAAGGATACGTTTTTATTGATTTTAGAGGGAGAGGAAGAGAGAGAGAGAGAGAGAGAGAGAGAGAGAGAGAGAGAGAGAGAGAGAGAGAGGAACTTTGATGTGAGAGAGAAACATTAATCGGCTGTCTTCCGTATGTGCCCTGACTGGGATCAAACTAGCAACCTAGGCATGTGCTCTGACTAGGAATCAAACCCACAACCTTTTGGTGTACGTGATGACACTCCAATCAATTGAGCCATTTGGAATTATTTATCTTTAAGATCATATTATTCATCTTCGGTTTTATAGTCCTTTTCAAAAATAATTACGATCATGACAAAAATATCTGAATATATTTTAAAAGATATCTGTATTGCTTATTTTAATAGGTATACTATCATATTGCTTATCCTTTAGCCAAAAAATATGCCTTGATTAATACTTTGGTAATTGAGAATATTTTTGAATTGTAAAAAAGCGCTTCATAAAATGTTTATACCTTAATTAAAAAGTGTATTTTCTTCTTTCAACAGTGTAAGACAAATGGAATGCAGGCCTTTTCTCCGGGCCTCAGCGAGCAAACGCAACATCAGTCTCCAGTTAAAAAAGGTAACTTTTTATTATAATTCCAAGATTTCATAAGAGAGTGTTAGTATTTATGTGGAGTTAATATTTGCTTTGCTGTAATAGACATTTATTCTTTTGGTTGATTTCTGCCCATATTAGTCAGGCTGTAGGCTTGACTGTTCTAACGGTGAGACCATAATAACAATTGCTTAAGCAGGTAGAAGCTTATTTGTGTATCTACTGTGTCATGCACAATTTTGAACTTCTATGACATTCCTGAAGATTTCCCCCTGGGTATGTGCATGGTAGAAACGGCCCTCCTGTGCTTCTCCTGGACTCTCATGCTTTCTGTACTCCTGGCACTTCACTTCAGACACAAGATGTGCAGTGTTTCCATGTAGCAAGCAGTTATTTGCAACACCAGCTGGGTGTTTTATAATCCAATCCAATCCTGACACTGTAGTTCATACAGACTCTACAGGTACAGGGCTCAGTCCCACAACAGCACCCACCATTTCTTCTTTTTATTTTTAATCTTTGTTATTGAAAGTATTATATATGTCCGCTTTTTCCCTATTGACCTCTCCCAGCCTGCCCCCCCGCACCCCAGGCCTTCATCACCCTTTTGTCTGTGTTCCTGGGTTATGCATATATGCATGTAAGTTCATTGGTTGATCTCTTCCCACCTGCCCACCCTCCCCTGCCTTCCCTCTAAGGTTTGACAGTCTGTTTGGTGCTTCTATGTTTTTGTATCTATTTTTGTTCATCAGTTTATGTTGTTCATTAGATACCACATATGAGTGAGATCATGTGATATATGTCTTTTTCTGACTGGCTTATCTCGGTTAGCATAATGCTCTCCTGTTCCACCGATGCTGTTGCAAACGGTGTGAGTTCTTTCTTTTTTATTATAGTAGCATAGTATTTTATTGTGTAGATGTACCACAGGTTTTTAATCTACTCCTCTGCTGATGGGCATTTGGTCTGTTTCCAAATCTTAGCTATTGTAAGTTGTGCTGCTATGAACATAGGGGTGCATATGTCCTTTCTCATTGGTGTTTCTGATTTCTTGGGATCTATTCCTAGAAGTGGGATCACTAGATCAAATAGCAGTTCCATATTTAAGTTTTTGAGGAAACTCCATGCTATTTTCCACAGTGGCTGCACCAGTCTGCATTCCCAGTGTACCGGGGTTCACTTTTCTCCACATCCTTGCCAGCACTTGTTTGTTGATTTGTTGATGGTAGCCAATCTAACAGGTATGAGGCGATACCTCATTGTCATTTTGATTTGCATCTCTCGGATGATTGGTTACTTTGAGCATTTTTTCATATGCCTCTTAGCCTTCTGTATGCCCTCTTTGGAGAAGTGTCTATTTAGGTCCTTTGCCCATTTTGTAATTGGTTTATCTTCCTTTTGTTAAGTTGTATGAGTTCTCTATAAACTTTGGAGATTAACCCCTTATTGGATGTATCATTGGCAAATATGCTCTCCCATACAGTGGGCTACCTTGTTATTTTGTGGGAACCCTTTACTTCTGAACACAGTTGCAAGTGGTAGGCCCCAGCTTGCCCAGAACGTCATCTACCTTGGCTACAAACTGCAGGTTTCCAAGACCCCCTCCTTGGATTCAGTCATTTGCTAGAACAGCTCACTTAGCATGGTCTCTTTCCTCCATTTTTCCTTGGTTACTTGGCTTTCTTTTCTTGTAAGAGGAAAATTGGAAGCAAGTTTTTGGCAGAGAAATTAGTCCTTTCAGGACAGTTAAGGGATATCCAGAAAGCATTGAGCAGAAAGGTGATCTGGACAAGTTCTGTGTGTTATAACATTTAATGTTTAATATCTACAGAGAGAATTAAATACAGCAGAGATTTCCTGTTGAAGCTCTCCAGTGTTTCCATCTGCAGGAAAAAACCAGACTTTCTTCCTGATCATCCCATTGTACTTCAAAAACCAGTAAGTAGTTTCCTTTTCTTTAGAAGTTTTTTTTTTAATTAATTTGTTGGGTGTCATTGATTGGTTAATAAAATTTTATAGGTTTCAGGAGTACAATTCTATAATATATCATCTGTACATTGTATTGTGTGTTCACCACCCCAAGTCAGGCCTCTTTCCATCATCATCTATCCCCCGTTGCCCCTCTGATAATCACCATACTGTTGTCTGTGTATGAGGTTTTTTATCTTTTGCTTATGCCCTTCACTTTTGTCATCATTCCCCTTCTCCCTCCCCTCTTAGTTTTCTAATTTTGTATAATTTTAATTCCAAAATGTTTATCTTTAATAGTATCATTTTATTCACTCTCAATTTTTGTTATCATTGTGAAACATAATGCATAAAATTACATAAATGTAAATGTATAATATAACCAATTACTGTAAGTAATTAGCACTCTAGTGAAGAATTAGAATGGGCCATGGCTGGTGTGGGGCAGTGGTTAGAGCATCAACCCATGTACAGAAGGGTCTTGGGTTTGATTCCTGGTCAAGGGCACATACCTGGGTTCTAAGTTCAATCTCTGGCCTCAGATGGGGCACATGTGTCTCTCTCACATAGATGTTTCTCTCTGTGTGTCTCTCTCCCCATCTTTCCCTCTCTCTACCCTAGTCTCCCTTCCACTCTCTCCAAAAGTCAATGGAAAAATATCCTTGGGTGAGGATTAATAAAAATAAAACAAAAAAGGAATTAGAATGGAATAGTTATGTTTATTGAAAAGAGCATGACATATCTATATATATAAAAGCCTAAGTGACCAAAAGACCTAACGATCATTTGACCAATCGCTATGATACACACTGACCACCAGGGGGGCAGATGCTCAATGCAGGAGCTGCCCCCTCGTGGTCAGTGCATTCCCATAGTGGGAGCACCGCTCAGCTGACTGAGGGGCGCCAGATGCTGGGCTCATGGCTGGCGAGCACAGCTGCAGTGGCGCAAGCCTCTCTCCCGCCTCCATGGCAGTGCTACTGAGCAGCGGCAGCAGAAGGTGCAATGGGGTCAGGATGAGCGGGCACTTGGCTCTGTCTTGGGCTCTTCCCCAGCCACCTGCCGCATTGTACACTACTACATCCCCTGAGGGGTCCTGGATAGCAAGAGGGCGCAGGCCAGGCTGAGGGACCCCACTGGTGCATGAATCCGTGCACCCGGCTTCTAGTTTTCTTATAAAACTTCTATTGGTTTGTTTTCTAATTAAGTTCTATTATCCACCTGGAATTGATTTTGCTACATAATGTGAGGTAAAAGTGTTTGTTTTTTCCCTCTCCATGGATCTTAAGTCATCCTAGCAATATTTAATGAGAGGCTAAGTCCTCTGTCATCTTAGTTTTTTATTGTGTTGTTTTTTAAATCTTTATTGTTGAGAGTATTATGGATGCTCCCTTTTTTCTCCAGTTGACCCCCTCCTCTCAGTTCCCATTCTGCCCCAGGCCTTCACCACCCTATTGTCTGTGTCCATCGGTAATGCATATGAATTCTTTGGTCAATCTCTTCCTATCCACCTTTCCCCCTTCCTTCTGAGATTCATTAGTCTGTCCCATGTTTCTATGACTCTGGTTCTAGTTTATTTATCAGTTTATTTTGTTCGTTACATTCCTTGTTTATTTTGACTTTTAGATTAAATTGTTGATAGATATGTATTTATTGCCATTTTATTGGTCATATTTTTATCTTTTTTCTCTCCTCCTCCCCCTCCTCTCTCCGTCTCCGTCTCCTCCTCCTCCCCCTCCTCCTCCTCCTCCTCCTCCTCCTCCTCCTCTTCCTTCTCCTTCTTCTTCCTCTTCCTCTTCTTAAAGAATACCCTTTCAATATTTCATGTAATACTGGTTTGGTGGTGATGAACTCCTTTAGTTTTTTCTTGTCTGTGAAGCTCTTTATTTGACCTTTAATTCTAAATGATAGCTTTGCTGGGTAGAGTAATCTTGGTTTTAGGTTCTTACTATTCATCACTTTGACTATTTCTTGCCACTCTTTCTGGCCTTAAAAGTTCCTGTTGAGAAACCAGCTGCCAGTCGTATGGGTACTCCCTTGTAGGTAACTAACTGCTTTTCTCTTGCTGCTTTTAAGATTCTCTCTTTGTCTTTAACCCTTTGCATTTTAATTGTGATATGTCTTGGTGTGGGCCCCTTTGGGTTCCTTTTGTTTGGAACTCTCTGTGATTCCTGGACTTGTAAGTTTATTTCTTTCACCTGGTAGGGGAAGTTTTCTATCATTATTTCTTCAAATAGCTTTTCAATATCTTCCCCCCTTTCTTCTCCTTCTAGAACCCCCATAATGTGAATGTTAGTATGCTTGAAGTTGTCCCAGAGGCTCCTTACACTACTGTATCTTCATATTTTTGGGTTCTTTTTCCTTTTTGCTCTTCTGGTTGGTTGTTTTTTGCTTCCTCATATTCCAAATCATTGATTTGATTCTTGGCATGCTCTACTGTTGATTATTATTAATTATTATTATTCTTTATGCTTAATTGCTGACTGATCCTTTTTCATTTCTTTGACATTCTCACTAAGATCCTTGAAAGTCTCACTAAGTCCCTTAAAGCTTTCCTAAAGATCCTTGAAACTCTAATTAATATCCTAGAGCAGTGATTCTCAACCTTCTGGCCCTTTAAATACAGTTCCTCATATTGTGACCCAACCATAAAATTATTTTCATTGCTACTTCATAACTGTAATGTTGCTACTGTTATGAATTGTAATGTAAATATCTGATATGCAGGATGGTCTTAGGTGACCCTGTGAAAGGGTCGTTCAACCACCAAAGGGGTCGCAACCCACAGGTTGAGAACCGCTGTTCTAGAGCATCCTTATAACCATTGTTTTGAACTATGTAGTTTGCTTGCTTCCATTTCATTTAGTTCTTTTCCTGGTGATTTCTTCTGTTTTTAATTTGTAACATGTTTCTTTGTCTCCACATTTTGGCTGCTTTCCTGTTTGTTTCTATGTATTAGGTAGAGCTGCTATGTCTCCTGGAATTCATAGAGTGGCCTTGTTTAGTAGATGTCCTGTAGGACCCAATGACTCAGTCTCCCCACTCACCTAAGCTGGGCACGCTAGGTGTGCCTCTGTGTGGGCTGTGTGCACAGTCTTGTTGTAGTTGAGTCTTGATTACTGTTGGCATCACTGGGAGGAATTTATTCCCAAGCCACTTGACTTTGAGGACGAGCTACAACTACAGTGGAAGAGCTGCTATGCAGGAGACACCCTTATGGAACAGGACTTGCTTCAGTGAGTCTGCCCCTTAAGTGCATCACTTGTGGATGTATAGAGTTGTAATCTTTTGTGGTCTGAAGCTGTCCACCAGGTGCACTGGCTCTGGGGCCTCCCAGATAATGCAAAGTCAGCCACTGCTGGCAGGCACTACAGAGTGATCTGCAGGTAGCTGCTACTTGTATTGGGCTTGAAAGTACCCAAGAAAGGCCAAATTGTGAAGCAAGGCAGGCTGCTGCTAGTGCCAGGTCTTGGGCCACTTATTGAGAGATATGGGACATGCTGAGTCCAGCTGTTGCTTGTTTGAGAGATTTTAGGAAAGTCTGAATCCTGAGCCAGGAAAGGCCATTCATATGGAAAAGCAGCTGCAAACAGCTTGGGTGAGGCTGCAAATTGGGTGGGGTGGGGTCTCAGGGAATCACCAGGTGGAGCAAACAGTGTGAACCAGGTTGGTGGTGACTCAGATATGGCCCCTGACTGTCAGCTCTGTGAGGGGGAGGTCTCAGTATAGGAACAATGAACCCCTCCCTGCCTATGAGAAAGCTGCCCCTGAGTTCTTGCCCCAATTCCAGACAGTCCAGTTTCTCTTCATATGTCCCTGGATCCCCTCAAGCCACTGCCCCAGCACTGGAGCTCAGTGGGAGTGAATCCTCGTAAGTCCTAGTGGTAGCCATTTAAGAGGAACTGCCTGGAACTCCAGTAGCCTCTGTGTCACCCAGCCACAATCCCCACTGGTTTTTATAGCCTGAAGTTACTGGGACTTCTCTTTCCAGCTCTGGAGCCCTAGCCTGAGGAGATCTGGTGTGGGCCTGGGTCCCATTGTCCCTCACTGGAAGCTTCTGCAACCAAGATATTCCTCCTGATTAAAAACATGTCACATGTGGGTGTCAGACCAGCCCATTCCACTCCTCGGCTCCTCTGTTCCTCCTCCCCTCCTACTTGTCTCGATGTGCTTTTTTCTTTACTTCTCTAGTTGTAGGACTTCCATTTAGCCAGATTTTAGGTGGTTCTGAATGATGGCGGTTCTGTATTTTATAGTATTTTTTTTTTTTATTGATTTCAGAGAGGAAGGAAGAGGGAGAGAGAGATAGAAGCATCAATGATGAGAGAGAATCATTGATTGGCTGCTTCCTGCACACCCTCTACTGGGGATTGAGCCTACAACCTGGGCATGTGCCCTTGACGCTTTAGCCACTGAGCCAAACTGGCTAGGGCTGTTCTGTATTTTAGTTGTAATTTTGATGTGGTTGTGGGAGGCAGCAATTACCACATTTACCTACGCCACAATCTCGGTTCTTCCCCCCCCACCCCCACCATCTTTGTGGCTACAATATGGTCTGTTTCTGGGCCTTTTGTTCTGTTCATTTAGTTGTTGTTTTTATAATATATTTTTTTATTGATTTCAGAGAAGAGAGAGGGAGAGAGAGAGAGAAACATCAATGATGAGAGAGAATCATTGATTGGCTGCCTCCTGCATGGCTCCTACTAGGGACTGCAAGCACGCAAGCTGGGCATGCGCCCTGACTAGAATTGAATCGTGACCTCCTGGTTTAGAGGTTGACGCTCAACCACCAAGCCACACCAGTCAGCCACACACATTGTCTTTTTATAGTAAAAAAAGAGTCATGCCCCTTATTCCTTTTTAGCATGTTTCTGATTTTCTTAGTCTTAAAGTTCTCTCCCACCTCAACAGATTCAATCAGAATAAATACACAAAATATATTGATGGGAAGGGCGTGTGTTTTGGCATCAGGCTCGGGTTACTGTGTGTACTGGTGTCCTGTTCAAACTTAGACAAGTCACTTAACCCTCCTGAGCCTCCGTTTTACAATGACAGATAAGAATGATAATCTGCACTTTTTAGCATTAAATTCCAACCATGTCGGAAGTGCTTGGGATGGTGCTTTTCTCTCATTAGGCACTCAGTAAATATGACTTTCATCTTCTATGGTCTTTACTTCCATACTAAAGCACCTTTATTTAGATTTTTCAGAAACACTATAATGGTAAAAATAAAAATAAAAAAGAAAGAAAAGCAACTGGGATTCAATTGAGAAGAGCTCAGAATATAGGTACACTGAGAATGACTCAGACAGATACAGACTACCCTCCTGTGCTCTCCGGTTTTGAGATTTCTCTTTAGACTTCATAGTCTTTTTTTCTTAATTACAATTTTTAAAAATTTTAACTTGCTCATAATATACATCAATGTTTCTTAACTTAAAATCCCTAACTTGTACACTTCCAGCCAATTCTTATTTTTAAACTTAAAGCAGGAATTTAAACTTTTTTTTCATAATGCCTTGTACACAGGAATATTTAAAGAGGATAAGTGTCCTTAATGATGCTTGAATTTTCCTACCTGTTCACCGACTTTAGGAACATATAATCCTTGGTCTGTACAAATGAATCTTAAACTTAAATGCTTTATAAAACTGTTATTTTTTCAATTGCAGACTTTCCATCTCTAATATTTTATTTTGTAGATAAAAGTTGAGTATGCTTATTATTTTGACCAATCCTTATACATTAGAGTTGACTTTAATTTTAATATATATATATTAATAACATTTAAAAAATTACCACAAAAACAGAACAGGTTTGGAATACAATCTAATATATTTAAAAATGAATTACATATGTTCTATTAAACACAGAAGATTGTTTTGTTATTTGACAAATTCCAGTTACTTTAATAATTTCTATAGTAACATGCATTTAGATCTGTAAACACTTAATAAGGTCACAGTATTTGGTTTGATAAACAAATTAGTAAAAACTGTTTTCATTATGTTTTTCTTTTATATTACAGGAAAACAACCAAAGTTTTAAGGAGCACTTTAAGAACAGATGAATTTGAAGATAGATAATTATTTTATGTTTTGGACACCTGCAAATGAAGTGGATCTAGTAACAATAACTGTAATGGACTGTGACAATTCAATTTATTTTTAATTTTGATGGTTGGGTATTTGGTTTCTCCTAAAATGAGAGAGAGATATTTTAAACTATAAAGAATTTTCTAATCAGTTTCAGCTTTTCAAGCACTTTCCTAAATATATTGGGAAGAAGCACTCACAAATAAAAATGTGGTTAGTGACATGGGAAGACTGTACTTATAATTTGCATGCTACTTTCAGTTTTTGTTTTTCATCACTTGTAATAATGGAATGGAAATGGAAGCTGTAAAGATTCTCAAATATAAAGAATTTGCTGCGATGTGTGTGGCACGGACTTGTTGCTAAAGTGGCTTCTGTTTGTTTCCTGATTTCAGACCAGCACTGAGAGGGTCTCTTCAACCTTTGGCTGAGGACGCGTCTGAGCAGGGCAGTCTCAGTGATACGAGGGATGTTTAGATAGTCTTTGCAGATAGATGTTTCCAATAACATTGTCTAAGGATCACAGTTACCAGCAAAGGGTGACAATTTGGAAACAATAGCAGTGAACAAAACTGAAGGTGAAAAGTGCTGATCAGACCCCATGAACAAAAGTAATTGCAAAACCCATTCTTATTTCCAAAGAGGAAAAATTAGGCATTTGCAACCAGTTGAGGTGCATTAAGATTCAGTTCTGTAATTTCTTTTATTTCTTATAACAAGAATATGTATAGATGAAGAATTTGAGGGCTTAAAAACTTTTAGTTCCTGGAATTTTTATACCATCTCTTGGAATTTGTCACTCTGGATATGACTTCTAGTCCTAAAAGTTCACTCCAGCACAGTGCCAAACAGTATTGCTGACAGAAAGGTAAGTGCAAACTTCCCCAACTCCGGTTCTCTCAGAAGCTCTCGTCTTCGGGACTGCTGGGTGGCATGGAAGGCCGTCATTTGGCAGGAAGGTTTAGGTTGAATCCTCAGCTCCTAACAACAGGACATTTCTGTTCACTGGCATTTGGGCTTGTTACCAGATTAAAGCTTTAAGTACATGTAGGTCTCCCTCCTTGGTCTCTCAGTATCCACCATACTTTTCATGGCTTTGTTCCCCAGAAAAGTAAGTAGATTGTGTTTTAAATAGAGAAAACTTCATTAAGCATACATTTATTGGTCACTTTAAATTAGATAGTAATCCCCGGGCCATTTCCCCTACTATTTGCCCTTATATTATAGGTTCCCTTATATAGATGTGTGTAAATAAATACACAGATGCTCTCTCACACAAAAATAGATGTATAATCTGTGAAAGAGCTCTTTATTTTCTGCCTATTCTCAAGGTATTTTAATTCTAGTTAACAAGACAATAGGAATGATTCCAATTTGGAACCTGCAGGGCCCTTCCGCCTGGCGCTGCTGCTAAGAGCAGCACCTCCCAGTCAAGCTGCCAAGCTCCGTGGGGAACTGCCTCATCCCCAAAGGTGGAGTGCACCTTCTGAGTCTGACACTGACATGGACTGGCCAGAATAACACTGCTATTGGCTGTAGTTTATATTTTGAAACCATTTATAACCTGTGTTTCAAGAAGAGTTTGTGTGTCAACAGTCCCCTGGGTTTCCATCTCTTCCTCCTTTGTTACTGTATATAATCAGAGCAAAGATGTTTATTATCTGCATATCTTGTACATGTGTATGGTTTGAATCGTCACTGTAGGTGTCCATTATCCATTGATGTTCTTTGCTAGGTAGATAAAGGAAACGTTGAGCCAGGGGTTTTCCTTAGTGTTTCTCCTCTTTAGAAGTGACCTGAGACACATGCATGTGGTTGTGTGTGCATTATGTCAGCATTTATGACCTACGTCTAGGTAGATCCTATGGCAAAATTCTTTCATTTAGATTGAATGAGGACTGTGGGTATACAAAGGTATTGATAAAAGTTAATACTCCATGAATCAGTTGGAGAAAATATTTTAGGTTTTATATTTAAATTTTTTGTGTGTTCAGACTTCCTTTTTTTCTGAATTTTCCAACAGGAAAACAAAAACAAACAAACAAAAAAAAAACAACAGGAAATATTTACCTCACAGTTTTTTCCTGGAAGACCTGTGGTTTCAAAGGAATTTGGACTACAGAATAGTATAGTAGCAAATTTCTATACACATTATATTTTCATTAGCAACATTTATCATTAAAGGAGATTTTACTATGAAAAATATTTAACTTATGAGCTTAGACAGTGGAGCGTCTGAGGCGGTGGCAATGGGACTGGGTTGTGGTCATTCCGCTGTGAATCTGGAAACTGTATCTGTGCAGCACCTGCCCTATTATTTCCCTAAAATTGGTGCTTGTGCTATATTCCTTCTTTGTTTACTTAGATTAAAAATTTTTTAAAGTATTTTGAAATAGAAATGTCTACTTTTCATTAGGAAATTTAGCCCTCTGGCTCATAATGCTATAAGCTATGAACCAGGTTTTCTCAAAGTTAAACTCTCTCTCCATTTTTCTTGATTTGTTTGACTTATATCCAAGGAATTATGATGCTGATAAATTACATAATGATGTCACATTAATAAATGGTACCTGTCACAGAACTGTTCACTTGGGAAAAAGCAGTTTATACTCTGATACATAGAGATTCTGCAGGTTTCAGCCAATGTGGTTTTGTGCAAAGTTATGTTAACTTTTTTTCTGATAAAACAACAGAAACATTTTTCTGCAGTTCTAGAGACTACAAGTCCAAGCTCAGGGCGCTGGCTGGTTGGTTCTCCTGTGGCCCCTCTTCTGGGCGTGCAGATGGTTGCTTCCGTGACCCCACATGACCATTTCTCTCACTGTCTCTCTCTCTCTCTGTGTATATAAGGGCACCAGTCATATTGGATAATGTACCAGTTTTTAAAATAAGAGAAAAATGAATAGCGCTAAGAGTAGGCATTATCTATATACGTAAAAGCCGAAGCGACTGTGCGATTGTTCGACCGGTAGCTATGACATGCACTAACCCCAGGGGGCAGACACTCAATGCACAGGCATGGAAACATGGAACAGACTGATGAATCCAGAGGGAAGGGTGGAGGGTGGGAAAAGATTAACCAAAGATCTTATTCGTGCACCGGTGGGGTCCCTCAGCCTGGCCTGTGCCCTCTCGCAGTCCGGGACCCCTCGGGGGATGTTAGAGGCTCAGTGCACAAATTTGGCCTGATCCCCGCAGGCCTCTAGTAGAAGAATAAACTTCACTCACAGAAAATCAGTTACTTAAAAATCACAAAACACTGGTTTAACCTTTATAGTTTATGGCAAATCTACAAATCTATTCTATGAAGTAATATTCTAAAAGTTCACATTTTAAATATTTTCTTTATCAGTTTCTTTTTCACAGTTTTGTTTCTTTAAGTGTACACTTTTTTCACATATTAGAATTTTATGACTAAAGGGTTTGGGGTTATAGTATAGCAAATCAGTAAATGTAGAGAGTAACAGTGAACTTTGAAAATTGAGCTAAATTTTACAAGAAAGATAGTTACAAAGATAAGACATTTAAAAACAGTGTTCATCTTAGAGTAAATATAGAAAAAGAATAGAGTAAATGAATAACTAAAGAGAATTTGTAATTCACATTTTGATTGACACGTGGTTTGTACTTGGCCCACAAAGAGGTGTGGAAACAGCTAGCTGCTGTTCAGGACCCACCACGATGCTGCAAATAGAAAAACAGGTTTTAAATGATGAAAATCCCTGCCAGGTGAGGTAAGTTCAAGGTGCAAATAATTCGAGACCATTTCCCCAACTTCAGTCTGCATAACGGCTAACCTTTCTCAGTCACTAATTCCTAACTTTCTGAGCCAAGATTGAGCTCTTCCTCTGCAGCTGCTGTTCGTACCGTATCTTCTGGCAGCTAATCACAGTCTGACTGAAAGTTTTTGTTGAATAGAGTTTGGCAATGAGATCATAAGTGACCTGTAGATAAAATTGTTATTGTTTTAATCTATTTTTATATACCAATTTTGGTGTATATAATATACTTTTGTATACCAATATGTTTTTATATGTCAATTTTCAAAGATTGCATATAAGTTGGTGTGTCCTAAATAATGCTTTTTAGTATATGTCTACATTGTAAAATTGGAAATGTTTTCCTGGTGAGTATAAATATCCCAATGACAAACATATAGCAAAGCAGTAACACTGGTGGGATGCTTGAAGAAACAGACAAATGTAAAGGATTCTCATTTATTTCCAAAGCTCTTTTCCATAACCACAGGCCTTTCTCCTTTGCCAGGGAATATTTTGCTCCACAGACTGAATGCCCATTCTCTGTTTGCTTGGGTGATGAATGATGTTTAGTGGGCTGCTGTTTCATTTGAATGCTTTTTATGTTTCAGAGTTCATAGCTATATGTTTTGGTTTGTATGTTTATATATGGATGCTGGCTGGTTTAGTTGCTTTATTTCTTAAGCTCTACCTTAGATAAACTGCTAAGAAATATTAAAAAATCTTATTAGAAATCATAATTTGTGATTATAAATATAAAACTACAAAAAATAGCATTTTTTCATATTTTAAATTTAGGTCTAAACATGTACAGCTACAATGTTTTTAATTTTTATTTTTAGCCTTCAGAGCTGTATAACACACACAATGCACAAAACTAGTTATTAAAAATATTAGAAGTCATCTGACCACTAAAACCATAAATAATATTTATAAGCTAATTTCAAGTTTTTGTTAGGGAGGTGTGTTTTATAAGACTTTTACTTTATAATAAAGTCAGGTACCATGATATATGTTAAAATCTTGTGAGAGATAGGTTTAAAAAAATTGCATTAGAAATCAGGCCTAACTTTTCTTTCTGTCCCGTCAAATTCCAGTGGTCATTGTTGAAATTAGATGTTATATGAAAATTAATGCAAAATAGGGTTAGCAATTAAAAGGCATTGCATTGTATTGAGTTCGGGCTCTGAGAACAAGAAATGATCCAGTTTTATACACACTCAATTCTTCTAAATTAGGAACTGCTCTGAGAGGAAGAGCAAGGTAATGCATGTGCTAACAATAGTAGGGAGGGGGAGGACAGAAGTTCATCCAAGATGATGAAGTAGGGATGGTCCAGAAAACCTGTCCAGTTACTATAACTATCCTATTCTTCTGGTATTTCCTGCTAACTCATTGCCCTCCTTGTCTACTTCATTCTTTTTCAAGTGTTTTCTGTTCTGGAAAGATTCAAAGGTCCAGTAAGCACAGCTTCTGCCTTCCACATCATTGTCCCAGGGCGTGCCAGACTGGAGAGTGGAAGACAGACATGTCAGACCCACTTTACAAGTGTCAGGACTTGTTGGAAATGTTATGACTGAAGACCAATGTGCTTATAATGATATCAAAG